CGAGCGGGCGCACCTCCAGCCACCCTGGTGAGGTCGAGCCCACTTGGCTACCCACTCGGCGGCCGAGCCGGCGCAAACGCCGAGCGGGCCTGGAGGGGGCCCCTGGCAAAGGGAAAGAGAGGGGGCCGCCCCCTCACATCCCGTCTGCCAGACGAGATGGCTTGAGCTGAAATTCAAGATAGGAGGAGGGAGCAGGGAGTGAGGCGGGGGCCCGGGGAAGACGGGATGAGAAAGGATCACCTGGGGGAGAAAGCTGGACAGCGAGAAGGACGAGGGGGAGAAGGAGGAGAGGAAGGGGATGGAGGCGAAGGGAGGGAGGATGGAGGATGCCTATGTAGGTTATGCAGGCGATTGGGGAAACCAAAAGGTACAGATACCGCCACTGCACGGACATCTCCCGGGGTGCGCTCGGACCAGAATTGCGAGGCGAATCCAGCGGTGGTGACGACAGCCTCCCAGGAGGCCCCCCAAAAAGGAAAACGGCCGAAGGGTAGAGGTATGGGAACCTCTTCCTCCTCTGAGCGATGGGGAGGATGAGGGGGAGAGAAGGCAGGAGGAGAAGGCTTGGCTCATTGGTTGGTTCTGCTTCTGCTGCGCAGGCCCTGCCCATCCTGCTCATGCACCTTCACTGGCCCTCCCCCCTGGGACTCGCTTCGTCCGCCTCCCGTCCCCGTGCACGTCCTTATCCCTCTCTCTCTCTATATCTTTGTTTTTTTGTTCGTTTCCCATCTCTCCCTCTCTCCCTCTCTCTCTCTCTCTCTCTTTCTCTCTTTCTATATATCCGTCAGCGTGCTTCTTGGCACGGAGTGGGCGTGTCCTCAGGTCCTTTGCCTGATCATCCGAGCCTCAATCCTCACTCCTGAGGAATCTTGCAGGGGCCCAGGGCCCAATGCTCGGAGTGCGTCGCGTCGGACTCGAGGAGCGCACCTCCGCTAAGCGGCCTCAAAACCTGCGTACACTCCTGGAGCGCTCCGAGTCGGATTCGCGGAGCCCCCCTCCGCTAATTGGACTCAAAACGTGCGCGCCGATTCCTGGAGTGCATCGCGTCGGATTAGCGGAGCGCCGCTCTTCTAATTGGCCTCAAAACATGCGCTTCGCGGAGTTCTCCGCGTCGGATTAGCGGAGCGCCGCTCCGCTAATCTGCCTCATACCATGAGCGCCGAACCAATGATTCCCGGAGAGATCCGCGTCGGAATCGCGGGACGTCGCTCTGCTAATTGGCCTCAAAGCATTCGCGTCGACGAAGTTTGCGTCGCACCTGTCTCTAACAGTTCCCCGAGAGGCTCCTCAGGATATCCCAACGAACATCCACGAGGCCTCGCCCCAAGAGGCCCCCAAAGGCCCCCAAAAGGCCCAAAAGAGGCTCCAAACCAGCCCCCAAGAGGCTTCAAAACTGCCTCCAAGAGGCCCCCGGCAGGCCTCCCACGAGATCCCGACGAGCATCCACTAGGCCTAGGCTGCAGACCCACAACCCAAGCACGGTGGCGAGATAGATCGAAGGCCGGTCACCTATGCACGTAGCACCCAGCCGTTGTGGATGAGAGTGAGGGGGCGGGCGCCGGGTGGGTCGCGGGTGGGTCGTGAGCGGGCCGCGGGTGGGTCGCCGGGTGGGTCGCAACCCGGCGTGCGGCCCCATGCCCACGGGTCGCAGTCCAGGTTCCCCCTGTCTGGCGGCTTCTGCCCGAGCTACGGCCGGTCACCCGACTCCTCCCCCCCCGCGACTCGACCCCCCCCCCCTGCCGTGGCAGCCTCTCGTACTCTAGACACTGCCAGTGGCACCCCTGAGGACGCCTACCCAAAAAGGACGTGGTCACAACGGGAGCACAGAATCCTTCTGATGGAATCCTTGCGCTGGAACCCGTAGCACGAAGTCCTCGAGCAGGAACCGGTCGTAGAAGGATCCTTCAAAAAGAACCCTTGGTAAACAAATATAGGATCGAAACTCTTCATGAGGATGCCTCAAGAAAGAACCTTTTACTCAGAAATCCGGAATACATATTCCTTTGCGGAAGAATCCTTGGAATAATCCTTGGTCAGGAGTCCTGGGTAAGAAATCCATCGCAGGAAACCCTGCGATATTTGACAACAACTCTTCGGCAAATCCAACATACGGAACCTGACTTTGGAGTCCTACGTAAAAGCCCTTTTCATCAGGAATCCTACCAAACGAAACCCTACTGAATGATCCTTCGTCGAGACTTCTCAGCAAGGAATCCTTCCTGGGAAATCCACCATAACGAATCCTCAGTAAGAAACCTTGCCTTGTATGTCCTGCACAAGGACTCATTACTGAAGAATCATTGGTCAGGAGCCGTCAGGAAAGAATCCTCATGAATCCCTAAGTCGCGAATCTTTAAATCCACAACAAGACATACTGCATAGGAAATCCCCCATCACGCATTTTCCATGAGAGCCCCTTCCTCAGGAGACCGCATTAAGTACGCCTTGCTGAAGGATCGTTGGTCAGGCGCCCTGGGTCAGGACTCCTCCATGCGGACTCCTTGGTGAGAAACCCTTCATCAGAACTCCTCAGTAAGACACCCGTCGTCAGGAATGCTCAATTCGGAATCCTTTCTAGAGGGATTTACAACGAACGTCCTGAGCAACGGATCCGTGATTGGGAAATCCTTGGAATGAAAGCACAAAAAAGGAATCCTTCGCAACATATCCTCAGGAATGTATCCCGAATCAAAAACCCTCAGAGCGGAAGTCGTGCCAGTATGGTGTCCTCACTCGGGATTCCTCAGTAATGAGCCCTGTCGGGGGAATCCTTAGCCAGGATTCCTCAACCAGGAATCCTGGCAAGGGATCCACAATACAAAATTTGCACGGAGGAAACTTGCGGAGGAATCCTGAAATAGGCACCCTTACTAAAGAACCCTCAACAAGGAGTCCTTACTGCAGAAACCCTGGCCAAGACCCATCAACAAAGAATACATACTGAGGAAACCTGCGTAAGAGCCCCATCCACGGAAACTGACTCGGGAATTCTAAACAAGGCGCCCACCATAAGAAGTCCTGAGTAAGAAGTACTTACTGAAATGATCCCTACTCAGGGCTCCTCAATGAAGAATCCGTACGAAGAAATCGTCCCTACAAAGCCCTTAACAAGGAAACGGGCCCCTTAATCCTTAACACGGAGTCCTGGCTCAGGAAACTCTAAGCAGGCATATTTTCTACGGAGTCCCCAATAAAGGAACCTGCTTCAGGAGCTCGTCTAGGAAATTCCTTCATAGTCAAAGCTGGCTAAGCACGTCTGCGGAAACAAATCTCACTTCGGAATCCTTGCCAGATGATCCGAGCAACGACACCATTGCTACCGAATCTGCACTGGAGACCCCGCGCGAAGGAATCCATGGTAAAACACTGTTTTCTGCGAAATCATTCAAAAACCGTGTTGCAACACTCACACTACGGAATCCACACTAGAGATTCCGTACTAAAGCATCCGTCCTACAGAACCCATGCTGTATAATCCCTAGCCAGGAGCCCTTTTCTTCATCGGGACTCCTTAGTACGGGGCCCTTGCAACGAAGAATTCTTACTGAAGGAACCTCGGCAAATTAAGCTTCGTAAAGAATGGGAAGCCCTTTCCACAACAATCTGGCCTGGATCCGTATCAAAATACACATGATAGTACGGATTCCTTGAAGGGGAGTCCTTGATGATAATTCCTCAATGCGGACTTCGTGGTAAGGAAACAATGATACTTGATCCTTACTATGGACCCCTTCGTGAGGTACCATTGGTAAGGAAGCCCCCGCACCAAAACCTGTTTATCATTATTAGAATTACTATTAAGTTAAGCCTATATAGGAGAGCCAGGACGTTTCGTCACTGCTTGATCTGGAGAGCTCGATCGAACCGCCGCCCCCCTTGATCGGGGGCGTCCAAGAGGGGGACGTCCAAGAGGGCGCTCTGCACATCATGGCCCGAGGCACGTGCACGAACGAGTGGGGGGGCCAGGGGACGTATTGAGGAGAAGAGGGGGACACTGGGACCCTGAATCTTTTGGGGAGATGTCAGTGCGCCCGCCATGAGAATACATAAACGTACATACACACACACACACACACACACACACGCGCCCCTAGCCACAACCCACGAAAGGCCCCAAGACGCCGCAAGCCGGCTCCAAGAGGACCTCCAGGGTGCCCCCAGGAGTCCACACTCATTTAGTGTATGTATACTTTTAACTGGAGTTAGCGTTCTCGCCTTGCAATACACCATGATGGCCCAAGAGGCACCAAAGATCCCCCAGACGGCCAAACCGGCTCCCAAGAGGGCCCCAAGAGGGTCCCAAGATGGCCTAAGAAAAAAGTGCCTCAGACGGCCCTTAAGAGTCCCAGGGTCCTCAAGACGCCCCCGAAAGGACCCCAAGACAGTTTCCAACGGCGCAAGAAGGCCCGAGAGCACCATGCGACGGCCCAAAAAGGTCCCAACGTGACCCAAGGAGGTCACAATAGTTCCGCAAGAAAGCCCAAATAACAATAGCTCGCGAGAGCCCCCAAGATGACCGCACATGGCCCTCCTCAGCGATTCCCCAGAGGTTTCCCCGATCACACCTTGGCTCAACATTTTCCCACACAGATCTGTCCAGAATGGGGGCAGCAATGATTCGCCGTAGGCGTATCCGATAACACCTCCGCGCCGAGCACACACATCTCCCCTCTCCTCCCCCCCCTACACGCACATTCACACAATCACGCATTCGCACATTCACACACGCATGCACACAGTTTTTGGCGATCGCGGGCCCGCGCGGAGAGACGAAGCGAATAAAACACTCAGACACACACACACACAAACACACACACACACACACGGATACATCCATCCTGCTGGAAGTGCTCCCCACGGGGGTCAGAGAAATGTCGAGATGAGGATGCGCGCGAAAGGGGGAGGGAAAGGATGATTCTAGTATCAAGAGGAGGAGGAGGAGGAGGAGGAGGAGGAGGAGGAGGAGGAGGAGGAGGAGGAGGAGGAGGAGGAGGAGAACGCTCGGATGCACGGCTCTCTACCCTCGAGCGTCGCACCTGCGAATTGAACAAAGCAAGCGACGGGGCGCCCAGACGGGCGTCGCGGAATACCTGCGGCTGGGCACCTGCTCACCCCCCGCCCCCTTCCCTACCCCACCCGCACCCCTTCCCAGCGCCCTCCTGCCCTGCCCGCCGTCACCGGGAGGAGGCGAAGGAGACCGGATCCCTCAGAGCTCGGTGGAGAGGCCGTGGCCGCTGCCGTGGCCCTCGCGGGCCTTCTGCCTCTTCGCGGCCCGGCTCCGCTCCAGCTCGCGCTCGCGGATCGTCTTCTGCCTCGTGAAGTGTACCTCCTCGAACGCCTCCAGGTTCACCGCGCGGGCAAGAACGAATTCGGCGACCGCCTCGAGCCGGTGCTTCCCCTCGTACACCGCCCTCTGCTTGAACTTCCTGTCCGCCCTGACGGCCGGGTAGAGGACCAGCAGAGGGTAGCCGTCGACGTCCTCCTCGCACTCGTTCTGCGTGGCGTCCATCTTCGCGATCACCACGCCGCGGTCCCGCCAGCCGTCGACGGCCGCCTCGGGGGGGGGGGAGAGGCACGTACACCTGACGGCCCGTCGCCTCTTCCAGCAACCCCCTTCCTCCTCCTCCTCCTCCTCCTCGTCCCGCTGCGTTCCTGGGCTCGGTCTTAGCCTCCTTACAACTTCTAATGGTTCTCGTGGGCGGCTTCAATATGCTGGTTCAAGACATGTCTGCGACCAGACTTATAAGCCGTGTAGGGGAAGAGGAGATCTTAGCCTCGACCGAGTATACAGGCGATTATGGCAGAGCTGTTTCGAACATCGATTTCGTTATTCGGAACGCCGCGGCAGCTCCGTATTTGCTTTCTCTTTCGCCAATTTTTCGAGTCCCAAGGAAACTTACTGTGGGTTCGAGATTCGGATGCGTTCTTCGGGTAAGCAGCTTATCAGTAATCTCTTGTGTTGCCTAGTCGTCTTTCTCAAGTTCCTTGGCCCACCACGCTCCCGACTCCTAACTCGACGTCCCAGCGGGCTAAGGCTGAAATTAAGGAGAAAGCGGCGGCGTGTGCGGCTAGGAGGGAGGATTTCAATTCTCAGAAGATCTCAGACATCTGGGATATGAGCAACAGGCCAGCACTTTGAAGTACAAGATGCCTACGCCCGATGATTTAGATGCTCGTTCAGAAGTGCCCTGCGAGGAAGATCCTTGGGCTCACGAATTATTAAATGCTGCTCATAATCATGGCCGTAATGGCACGCAGCAGTCGTCAGTGCAGCAGGGAGCTTTGCAAGCCTCGCAACTTGATCGCTCGTCGTGAACTCAGAGAGCGAGTCAATTCAGAGTTGCATGGTTTAGCCGATCCGCCGATTCTCGAGGGCAGGTTTCAATTTCCGAGCTATGCGACTGCACTTGTCTGGGGCCTGGTCCATGATGATGACCGCATCGTGTCGCCACAATGCCATACAGATCCCCCCCCCCCTCTCCCAGCGAGTCTGTTGAACCACCCCCCGCACGGACAGATAATGGGCTTGCTGATCCGACCGTCAGCTCAACAATTACGGATGAAGCTTGGGTCCAAGCGCGGACTATGTGTCGGCGTTGCTTCCCGCTCCTGCCCTCCTGCCTTTGCTGCTTCCGTAGATGCAAAGCTCAGCTCGGGCCTGTTCTAGTTGGTCCAAGTCTTCTCTGCACGGCATGTGGGCATCGGATCTGGAGAAGCCAATCTGTGATCACCACGACCAAAACGTGTCTCAATCTATCTCTCGGACAGCCGGTTCATAATATTCTTTAGTTCAAGAGGAGTGTATCCCTAACGAAGGTTAGGCCATACCATACAGCGATGTACTAGCACCCTGGTGCTTGCGCGCTCCTGATGCTGGGTACACAGATCAGACACTGTCGCAAGCAGGTGCTTCTGTGAGCGCCGTTGGGAAAGCTGGATATCTTGGCACAAATTTGGGGCAGGAATTGGACATACTGGAGCCACCCAGGCTAAACGGATTCTGAAAGCAGCGGGGATGCATTCCAGGGCTGTTCGTTTTGCCAGGGCGTCTCGCCGAAGACATGCCACAGCCAAGATCCAGCGTGCAGGAACGTGTTCTGCTCAACTGTACGCACACCAGATGCGTGGAGTGGTTGGTACAACCTTGGCCAAAGGTCGTCGGCAAATGGGAGTTGTTTGCGGGTCGGGAACCAGGGTTTGGATGTGTGTCCACGCATGTGGGCATCAGAAGCCCAGGGGTGATCCAACAATCCTATATCGACGGGAATGCCTTCGACTGCGGTTAAACAACGTGCTGACCACTCCTTTTAAATATGCTCGGGGCGTCGCCGTACATGACCTCGCCTACTGTAACGTGATAGATTAGCAAATCCTGGACACAGGTCGCGTGATGCGAGGCCCAACAGGGACAATTATCTTAATACCGTTTGGAGACTGGTTGGGACTCCCATGGGACCCGATGTTTGGAACGCTCCTTCGGACTCTCCTGGGGACCTTCAAGCGTGGAAATTTTATGAGGCCGACCTGTCTGGAGACCGTGTGCGTAGCTCGTCATAACCACTGCTGGATGATTTTGATGTCACTGTTCAAGCCCGTCTTTGGAAGGATAGCTCTCAGCACCGGTGAGGGGAAGGACTGCAGCAAAAGGTGGAACATTATCCTTATCGGCGCTTGGTTGCACAATTGCGAACCGTTCAGCATGGAGAGCGTCTTGCTGAGCTTATGTTTTCGATTGCTGTGAGAGGAGGCTACTGGCCTCGAGAACATATATGGAGACGATCCACCCGACTGTCGACGATTTCTGTCCACGTTGCCAGCAATTACCCGAAACGGCTTTTGACCGAATCTAGGGGTGCGAAACTAACGCTGGCGATGCATATGAAGATAACACTTCCCAGAAACTTACGCCCAAGCTGAAGCTGAACCGTGCTATTCTTCCTGCTCCCTGCACGGGTGTTTCCGACACCCCATCAGAATGAGCCCTGGTGGGTCTCTGGCACGTCACATTTGTTTGTAAAAGTTGTTTGGACACTGGCACTTGTTCCGTCCCTCTCTTGATCCTCGGAGACGCTAGTGGGGGAACAATTGTCGGATCCCAGGGGTCGGAGGGTTGGTCTTGCAGCAGTGTCTACTTCTGAATTTGACCCAGTTGCTATTCAAGCGGCTGTTGCAGGACAATTGCAAGGTGACAGGCAGACGGTTGCGCGAGGTGAGATTGCTCCTTTTGAGGTTGCTTTGTGATGACCTGTAACCCGTTTCTGCTACATCACAGATAATGACGGCGTGGCTTCAAGTTTCTATTCTCAAAGGTGTCAGACCCCGTCAGGAACCGACGCGGATCTGTGGTTGCGCATTGATGATCTTCTGAAAACCCGTCCTGGCCAGATGGCAGTTTCGCTGGGTAATTCCCACTTGGGTCGGTCGGAGGTTATTTGGCGTCAGGTTCCCCTGTGGCTCGTGTCGGGCAACCTCGTTGCTGATGTGCTTGCCGCCGAGGCGGCACCCCGCGCCCAGATTCCACAACATGTCCGGCACAGAGCACTGGCTCAAGAACGGAAGGCTTGGCGTATCCAGCACCGCTTGCGCCGCCCGAGCTTGGACGCCATCCAGGCCGAAGGCCCTGGAGGGGTGGACCCGAGGAGGGTAAAGTCCGTGCGCTCTGCTCCTCCCACCGTCACCCCCTCCATAATTGCTGCCCTCGCGTCCAGTCACACCCTGGACGATCCAGGGAAGCGTTGCACTGTTTGCTTCGGGTCGGCCCCGCCGGCTACCTTCTCTGAGTGGCTCGCCGTTCCTTGTTTCACCCCATCCCGTTTTAGTGATAACTGTTCGGCCTTTCCCCGGGGGTGGGCGGCTCCACATCGCGGGGTGGGGCACGGCACATTTTTCTCATGAGATGAGGATTCAGAGGGCACATTCCGTTTGGTTTTGTAGGTCGTGTGGTTGCTATGCTCATCATTCTTTGCGTGAGCTGTCGAAGCCATTCGGCATGAAAGTGGCTCCCCGTCGAGTCGGCGATCCGCCGTGATGAGAGCAGGGGACCTGGCCGGAGCAACTCAGTAATGCTGATCAGGCGCTTCGGAGTCGCCTTTAACCCTCTTGACCACTACGTGGTAGTCTGTTCCTGTTTCTGCTCCCCCTGCGCTCCTGAGGGGGACGGAAGGACGAGCGCATTTTCTTATTCGCGGCCATACAACGGGCGTTATGGGCGGTAGGGGGGGGAACGGGAGCGGGCATAACGTAGCGCCCCGCCCCCCCCCCCCCAGACTGGTGCCGAACGCACTGCGGCAGTGCCAGGGACGCACTGAGGGGGGAAGCATTACGTTACTTGGGGGGGAGGGGGGGAGAGTAGGGGGCATAACTCGCGTTATGGCCCAGAGGGTAAAGCAAAACACTCTCGTGGTACAGCCTGGTCCTGTTACTGCTCCCGCTGCGCTCCTGAGGGTGACGGAGGGACGATCCCAGACCTCCTTGCGTCATGGCAGGGTCACATGTTCTATTAGGATTTTCGGTGGCCCGAGGAAGGAGGAGGGAGGAGGAGCGAGGAGGAGGGAGGAGGAGGGAGGAGGAGCGAGGAGGAGCGAGGAGGAGGAGGAGGAGCGAGGAGGAGCGAGGAGGAAGAGGAGGGCGGGCCCCTGGACAGTCAAACCACGAACCAGGAGGAAAAACACCGGCCCAGGGAAAGGTCCAGACCTCGCGAGGGTCCACGCTGTGAAGAAGTCACGACGTCCAAGCTCTGGACAGGGGGAAAGCATACTCCAGACCTCACAATAATATGGAGGGGGCTATTTTTGTGGGGGGTCTCGCGGGCCAGATTATGTGGGGGTCTCGATGGTGGACTCGTTCTTGCACCGCTCTTCGAGGGGGTGGTCCC